TTGATTATTACTAGACTGCGGATCTTTATGAAAATTTAAATAGAAAAATAGAATTGCAATACAAAATGGATTTTTCCAAAAAATATTATAAAAAGCATCACCCTTTTTTTAAATAGTTGTATATATTTTTTCGTATTGCGTGCATTCTGTACAGTACTTTCAGACTTCCCATAAATCCATAGTCTAGTTATCTGTTTAAAAAAACATGTCGGGGAAGTCCTCCATTGGATCGATACTTATAAGTTAAAAAGAAGACGACCACAAATGGGAATAACCGGCAACAATTCATGTTAATAAAATTTTTATTACGCAGCTGAATAGTTAGATTGCTCTGATTTGTTCGTCCCATCACAGGGAACGTTTCCCTTTGACACAACATCGATGGTCCTGCTGCGAAAGAAGCTCGATAAACGGGGAAAGAGGAACGGCGGTAGGGGGTAGGGCGTGTTCACCAAAGTGTGAAATTTAAAAGTTACCATTACAGACAGCGAGTGAACGCGCGACAGTGAAACGCGACACTGCAAACTCGAATGTTAGCTTGGAGCCCATTCAAACTCGATACCGTCTTTAGAAATAAAACCCATGAAACAGGACGGCCGGTACCATTTGTAAGTTCGCTGAGAGCTTTAAAAGCTGTACACCGGCCGAACCAGTTTTTCGAACCGCCCGAATTAAATGCTAACATTCGAGGTTAAACTTTTTGTTAATTCTCAGATGGTAAGGAAAAATTGATTTTAATTGTGTATTCAATATAAGGAAATCTACAAAAATTGTTTTTCCAATGCAGAGTACATAAAAGAAGATAATATTTGTTGGATATTTGTCGGTAGAGGGAACTATTAAGAAATGATAGGGGGTAAAAGACGTTGGTAGGGAATTCTTATAATAACGTCGTGTCGGCAATAATGATACAGCGGTCACAGCCAGTCGTAAAATATTTATGGAAATATTCTTCGTGCAATAGGATAGAATGGCGAGAGGTGCAATATATAGGGATAAGTCGTTCAGTACTAATCGCTCTAAGCTTATTTATTATTATCTTCGACTGGAATCGATAAAAATCATAAACTGAAGAACATATTTGCAGTATAAGTAGAATTTAATCAAAGCAGAGATATTATTCTTATAAAATTTAACAACGAAAAGTGATAATACCCAAAATGAAATAAGTCGTAATCTGTAGGAAACACAAAATTATTATTCAGTAATAACCACTTATTAAATTTTAATGAAATGGTATTTAATTGATACAAGATTCTTATTGAACCCTTATTTTGACATATATCATCAAAAAGAAAAACTATTAATTTTTAACTACTGATGTTAGTTCCAAGGACCAACAACGTAATCTCTAAGTTAACGAATAACTCTAATTAGAATAAATATTCTTGTTTTGTTTGGGTCTCATTAATAACGAAGATATATTAAGAAAAGTCACAAATTAAACTTTTTCATTTCTTTCAAATGACGGTTTTATTGTATCTTAAAATGCATGTTGGCTTCACGGACGAACAGTTATACGGTTACAGTGCAAGTTCTTTTCACTTCGGTAGTTAATGGTTAAAATCTAGCTTTCCTTTAGTTTTCCACCTATTGATTTTACAGAAGCAAAAAATTTGGTCTTTATTAATTGACAGTATATTGGTCGGTACTAATCGACAGTTGGATGTTCGGTATTGCACGATGAAGATGTGGAATAATTTTGTGGCGTACTGTCTACAGAAAGATATTGTAAAACTAGTACTTTTTATCATACTTAATATATCCGAAATATAATACATAATAGAACAGAATCAGTTGCATATCCGAGAATCGAAAGATCAACTTTAAAAAATAGCTTTCAACTTATTGAATGTCAAAACATATACGTTTAATGCTTTAGAACATCGAAAATAATGGAGTAAACACCAAAATATGTTACACGATATTGTAATATTTGTCTGATCTTGTTGATTCACATAGACTGTCATTATTATTTATGCCTATTAACAAGTTAAATCAACTTTGTCAGGACTGTCCATTCTCCCGTATGCGGGCTGTATACTGTAATTCTGTTCGGTAAAGAACGTATACATATTTTATTAAACATGTTATAATAATACAATAACAATAATAATAACTATTCACTAAACATACAGCTGAAAAGGACAAATCCCGCGGATTTAATACATCATAAATAGAATTATCCATTAAATTAAAATTGCTTATTACTGAAAGGCTACTAATAGTAAGTGGCATTTTCCTCAATGCTATACTGACGTACATCGAATTGACTGATATGATTAATCATACATTCAAAAAAATATTAATTTAAAAACATTAATTTAAAGAAAATGTGACTATGGGAGATCCATGACAATAACGATACCGGTGGAGATGGAAATGATAATAAGTCATAATAATAATTCAATTTCAGGCGCAAGAGGAAGACAGTGATTCACACCTTCGAGGTCAAAGGGAAAGAATAACATGGGGAAAGGCGATAAGAGAGGCATCGCGCAACGTAGCGACGGTGAGTACAGAAAAAGAAATAGCCGTTCATCGTTAGTGTTTAGTATATTGAAAATGAAACGTATTCTCACCAATGAAAAATGTAAAACGTTTCCGTTATTGGATACATAATGTTGCTAAAAAACCATTATCATTATATTTTCACAATTCCATTACAATCTTCACGCGACATCGCGTCTAAATAATTTTGCTTTAATGCATCGGAGCATACATATTTTTCAATCACATACAAATCGAAATATCATTTACCCTTTTGAAAGGAGCACTGTGTTTTTATAAATCATTCATTAGCAGCAGAATATCGAAGGCTCGGCGTTCGGGATCCGCTGTTTAAATTCCAGTCTGCTGAGCGCTTGATCGCACGTACATACACGTACGTTAATAAAAAAACAGAAGCGATACTCTTGACTTGGTTCACTGCCTTGAGCAATC